CACATCCTTCCAAACACTAAATATATATATATAATCATCAAAAAGGAAATCGCATGTTAATCAGGTTTAAAATGCAGTGTTATTATACATATTTTCACTCATAAACAACAATATAAACTTTGCATATACATACAATATCCAAGAAAGCGATCTGCATACAGTTGTAGAAGAATTTCAAAGCAAAATTTCTGTTTTAAAATCTTTCAATTATCAATGATTTATTAATAAGAGGAATTATAAACATGTTATTCAATTAATCAGCAAATTCGTTAATTGGATACTGCTACGTTAAAGCATATACATTCAAGCAAAATTTAAAAAAAATAGTTATATTTGAACAAATAATAAACAATAAAATATACTGTGCATAACCAGCTTTAACGATTCACCTGTAGCTTTACCCTGCAGCGAAAAGAAATATTCAAATTTTTCTCTCTGATTGCTAAGCCTACAGCAGTAGCTTCTAAGAATATCCTCCAACTTTAATTAAGTTAGATCAGGATCCGTCTTTACAACGAAAATAATAAAATGTAAGCTTGACAATTAAAGCATATTTGATTAAAAGTGATAAAACTAAATTAAAAAATGTCAATCACACTTACCGAATATCGCATAGACTTTTGATTATCAACATACATGCCATTTTCCGACTCTCACGGAACTCTGGGAAGTGAGCTAGTTAATATGAAGTGTACTTTAAACATCCTCAAACTAAGCTTTGGTATAAATAAAATAATTTCATACACCTCAATAAATACCTGACTTTCTTCAGTTAAAATAAAGTAATCTTTTTATGCCTCATGAGTACCTCTTTTGTTACAAGTGTCAGAAAACCAACCTTGTATGCCTTAGAAATCACCTCATCAGTCTGGTTGATAAGAAGTGAATTTAAAACAACCTGAAAATAAGCTTAGGTATAAATAAAATGACTTCATGCACCTCAATAAGTACCTCATTCTCTTTAGGTGAAATGAGGTAAATTTTCTTTATACCTTTTAAATACCTCTTTTGTTCCAAATATCAGAAAAACAATCAAGTGTAAAGTACCAGGTGAACCTGAAAATTTGATATAGAGCCTATATGGACTGAATAGGGGGGAAATGTTGTTTAAATATGAAAATTCCATTATGGGTCTATATTTGTTAAATAACGTAACGTATAAATTTGTTAATAAAAGTTATTGGGGTAATCGGATATTTCTATATAGGGCATTATTGACTAAATAATCGGTATAAGGTATCGGGTGAATTTGACAATTCTATATAGGGCCGATATTGGCTGAATTGCTATTTAATATCGGGTAAATCGGGCAAGTCTATATAGGGCCGATATTGGCTGAATAGTGGCTATAAAATATTCAGTGAGTCTGACAATTATATATAAGGCTGACATTGGCTGAAAAATATCGGGTGAATCGGACAATTCTATATGGAGATAATGTTGTCTGAGTAATAGTTATAAAATTTTGAGTGAATTTGACAGTTCTATAAAAGGTCTATATTGGCTGAATAATAGCTATATAATATCAGGTAAATCGAACAAATTTATATAGGTCCGATATTGGCTGTGTAGTGGCTTTGAAATATTCAGTAAGTTTGATAATAATAAATAGGGTCGATATTGGCAGAATAGTGACTATAAAATATCACGTGAGTCGGACAATTCTATATGGAGCTGATATTGCCTGAATAATGATTATAAAATATTGAATTAAACGGACAATTCTATAAAGAGCTTATATTAGTTGAATAATGTCTATAAAATATCGGATTAGTCTGAGAATTCTATAAAGGGCCAATATTGGTACAATAAAGGTTCTTTAAACCCTTATCGAGCAAAAGAGTTTTTAAAATTGATCCAATGAGGGACAAAGTTATTTTGCTGCTAAGTCTGTTATCAATGCATAAGGCGATGGGGTTCAAATGAGACACGACTTATAGCAAAATGAGACACCACATATCGATCAAAGAAGACACCGCTTATGGCAAAATCTTGTACTCCTGGTATATGCCAACAATGCGTTGAAATATGATTTAAACTATTTTATACAAAAAAGAAAAAAAAAGATGCTACTAAGTTGAAAATAAAAAGAAAATTTTATCATATGTATTTACTTTATGTTGCGTAAAAATGAGATGCCCAAGAATTCTCAAAGAATTTAAAATGAACTATACTAATATTTTATTTATTCTCCAGTTTTTACCTACAATCTTCACGCTGTTTTAAATTATTTAAAATTTAAATTATTAAAAATGCATTCAGTGTGAAAAATTGCTATTTATAAATACGAGGGGGTTCAAAAATAAACTTCTTCTCTAGTGGTCAATTGGGAATCGAATTGCAATGGAGTAATCAAGGTAGCGGTTGAGTGTCAGACATTTTTACACCATTGAGCATCGTTCAACAATAATCAAGTAGATTAATCTGTCTCAATGCCAGGGCAAAACGAAAGCAGGCATCTCAGTCTAAAGCAAGAATTTTGTTACTGGACTTTTTGGAGTTTAGAACCATCACTGCAACACAATATTGTCAAAATTGAAGGAGGCTATTTGGAAAAAAACAGTCCTAATAGCTCACATCTGGTGTACTGTCATTGAATGGCAAGGCGAGACCACACCGGGAGACAGCAAGGCAAAGCAAGACTCTTGGTAGGAAGTTCCTTGACCATCCGCCATACTCTCTGATCTCTATATATTATAGAATATATTATAGAATATATGATGCACAACAACCTAAACAGTAGTAGAAGAACCCAAAAATTCGCTCACTCATCCTAAAGTTAGGATGAGTAGTGTTGATGAGAATGGGCGTGATTGTGCATTGAAAAATTATTTCAAAATTACCGAATCGCTTGAATTAAAAAAAAGAACCGGTTTATAGGTTTTTATGAAATTTTGACATACTTACACTGTTAGAAGAAATTATGGTTCATTTTTATTCATTATAAGAAATGAATTTCAGATGGGTTTTTTTATGTTCTCACTATGAATCAAGAGGTGAATAAGAAATATACAATTTCTGGGATGAGATTTAAAAAAGTTAAATTCTTGGATTGGATAGAACAAATATTTTTCTCTCTCTTTAGATTGGACGGCTTTCCATCTTTGAATTAAGCAGATGTTTCTTTGAACTGAACAAATATTTATTTTGAAAAGATTTAACTTCATTGAAGAGATAAAATTAGCATGATACGAGGCAATTTAATTAAATAATAATTTCGTGGTTATCATAAAATTAATTACGATGGAGAATCCACCGGGCAGAGTGCATCAGCAAGCGTACATTTTTCACTTTTCTGTATAAAGGAATTCTAGAGGTTTATGGTCTGTGTAAAAAGTAAATACGCTGCCCTCGACCATAAAATGAAAATGTTTAATTGAAGAATAACAGCCAAAAGTTTTCGGTCATGTGTAGAATTTTTTTTCTCAGTTTCATTTAATTCCCTTAAAAAAGAAACTTAGAGGTTGTAAACCAGATGGTGGAATTTGATGCAGGACAGCGCCTATTGAATAGTTGGATATGTCTACATGGAAAGCTAATTGTGCTTCAAGGGAAGAATGAAACAAAAGTTGGTGTTTACCAACTGATTTTTCGAATATTCGACAGCTTTAAATAATTCATCCATTCACTGAATAACGATTTTGTCCGATCTCTTATAACCAATAGATATTCCCACAATAACGCTTGTGTGTGAGCTTCGCTTGGTCGATGATAATTTAGTAGCCCTAAATATCATCTAAGACAGTCATGTCAAAGATACGGCCCGCGATCGCAATGTGTCACAGAAAGAAGAATCATGTTTTTTAGAGCTTTTAGACTTCACTAGATTCCTCTACGGAAGTTTTAAAATGCGCGCACTACATTTATGAGTAATTTCACGGGCAGCGCGTGCCTAGACAAGCGAGAGAGCTAGACAGTAACGCCATTTCTTAGCAACAAGCGGAATCTTCCACGCGCTTCGAGTGTAGACTAGAACCTTCCTTATCGGTATGCGGTCGGGGCGACGTGAGTCAGTTGAGTTGAGTAATCGAAACGATACGGTCGGAGAAGGATTTTAGTTGTACTGCGAACTAGTGATTGTGAAGGTATTGTGCATTTGTTAGTGTCGCGAGCGTGCAATATCCATAATTGTTGTGTCGAGTTCCATAATTGTTACGATTTTGGCATAATGGCACAAAAGCGTAAAGTTGATAGTGAGTGCAGAGTTTTTCAGTCTAAATGGGAAATCGCATATTTTTTCATAGAATAGAAAGGTAAGCCACTGTGTTTGATTTGCAATCAAACAGTTGCCGTTTGTAAGGAGTTTAACTTGAAGAGATACTATGATACGAATCATAAATCAAGATTCGATTGTTACACTGAAAAAATAAGAATGGACACATTGTCATCTTTAAAATCTAAACTTCAAGGTCAACAATCGATGTTTACTAAAGCTAATACTGAGAGCGAAGATGCCCTGAAGTCAAGTTTTATTATTGCATTAGAAATCGCGAAGAGATCAAAACCTTTCACTGATGGTGATTTTATTAAAGACTGTATGTTGAAAGTTGCCGATGTTTCATTTCCATTTCAAAAGTCAATAATTCAAAATACTTCGCTGTCAAGAAACACTGTTGCTTCAAGAATAAATGATTTATCTCAAAATTTGGTTCTTCAACTGAAGGAGAAAATTAAGGAATTTACAAACTTTTCACTGGCTGTTGACGAGAGTACTACTGTTGATACAGCTCAACTTGCTGTTTTTATACGAGGTATTAACAGTAACTTTGAAATAACTGAAGAACTATTAAAGTGCGTTCCATTGACAGGTACTACAACAGCAAATGATATTTATTCTGCAATTGAGCATTTGATAGCAGAATATGAACTCGACTGGAATACACTTAGCAGCACAACTACGGATGGTGCTCCTGCAATGGCTGGCAAACATTCGGGCGTTGTAACTAAATTGAAACAGAAAAAATCAGGGAATTTTGAGGGATTTCGCTGTATAATTCATCAGGAATCATTGACATCCAAACATTAAAAAATGGACCATGTCATGCAGCCTATAATTAAAATAGTAAATTTTATAAAGAGCACAGGACTAAATCACCGACAGTTCAGGCAGTTTTTACAATATTTGAACGAAAATTTTTTAGATGTCCCTTATTTCACCGAAGTTCGTTGGCTCAGTCGAGGAGTAGTTTTAGAAAGATTTTTTGCTTTACGCGACCCTATTCAAGCTTTCATGTTAGAAAAAGGCAACCCAATTGATTATGACAATGACTGGTGGATTGATTGTGCCTTTTTGGTAGACATGAATAAACACTTGACTAATCTGAATGTAAAGTTACAGGGTAAAAATCTGATTGTCACTCAAATGTATTCATTTATTCAAGCCTTTGAAACAAAGCTGAGGCTGTGGGAAAATCAGGTAAAAAATCAAACTTTGGATCATTTCCCTCATTTAAAATCATTTGTCACAGTGAACCAAAAAAATTTGATCAATATTCTCAACTTTTGCAAAATCTGATCACGGAATTCAGCAATCGTTTTGAAAACTTCCACAAAATGAATGAAATGGAATTCCCAATTTTCAACAATCCATTCAATTTTGAAGCTTCACAGGCACCAGTTCATTTGCAAATGGAGTTGATCGGACAGCATTTCAATCAGACAGTATTTTGAAAGAAAAATTTAAAGAGATTAACGCTCTTACATTTTATACAAGAGTTTGGATAACTACCCGGAATTAAAAAAGCATGCAGCACGCACGCATTCTGTGCATGTTTGGTAACACCTATTTATGTGAGCAGATGTTTTCCGTCATGAAAATAAATAAGAACTAACATCGCACAAGACTTACGAATAAACATCTCCAATCAATTCTTAGAATAATTACAACAAATATGAAACCGGACATCAATGAGTTTGTCAAAAACAAGAGAAGTCAGGTATCTGGTTCCTCGAGCTCAAAATAATTACCCTCTTTTATAACTTTGATATGATTTTAACAACCCTATATTATATGCCAGGGGTTTCCAACTTACATGAGACCGGGGGCCACAATTAAGAACACAAATCAAATGGCGGGCAACAACTTTATCAAAATTCTTTGTAGGACTCTTTTATGTTTGAAGGAACATTAAATATTACTGTCAGAGTTTTATCAAGTTGTACAAAACAAAAGTATTGAATTACAAATAAAAATAAGTAAATTTTTAAAAATATTTAATTGTTATTAATGATATTCTTAAAAATATTAAATAAATAATAAAAATTCGGGCTACAATAACTTTCAAGTGAGCACCTATGTATTAAACAATTAATGTGCTAATTGTATTAAAACTTACATAGTAGCACACAAAATATTCAACGAGAAAATTGAGGTTTATCTACTGCAACCACCAGAGAATAGATATTTACATTTTAAATTTACAAATGTGTGTTTAAATATTTTCGTACAAAATGAATGGTTTCTAAAAGTTAAATCGGAGAATTTCTTCGAGAAAATTTCTAATACGCACATGCTAAATTATATTCACAAAATACGAAAAAAATGAAATAAAAAAGAGCAACACACACGATTATTTTTATATTTGAATAAATATTTTCTTGGATGCAAGACCTGAAAAATAAATTTCTTTGCACCGTTGGTATGTTAAATTTCACAGAAACGAAGAAATTAGGTTTTTATTAACGAGAAAAGTATTTTAAACCCATATAGATTTTTTACGAAAATTGTCCGCAAAATAATGACAACTAATATATTTCAGTTCGCGGGCCACAAAAAAAGGCTTCGCGGGCCGGATGCGGCCCCCGGGCCGCCAGTTGGAAACCTCTGTTATATACTATACAATTAAATAAATAAAATGTTATAATAATTCAGTACATTTTTTTATTTGAATCTGGCCCGTCCAAACATTCTAATTAATATATGGCCCTCTGCAAAATTGAGTTTGACACCTCTGATCTAAGTTCATTTTCTGTACTTGGTGCTCCAAAGTCTGAAATGGCTTAATCCCATCTTTATTTACTGGATATCCTGGAATAGGAAGCTCGGTTTGCACATATTAATTCGATTGCCATATTCTAAAAAGGCATACTATTGCTAATTACGGAATATGTTATCTGTATTAAATTGTTCTCTATTATGTTCCTTTTATCTCTTCAAAGATGTTAAATTTTTTGACTGATAACCATTGGATAATTGTACAGTCCCCAAAAAAGAAAGATATCACCCAGAATAACTTTCGTTCTAATGATCGGATTTTCACGAACTAAGTGCTAATCTTAATGGTTCCTGGGGATGACCTCAAATATGCTAATTATTTAATACTAATTATTAACTAAGTTGCGAAATCGGATGCAGAAACGTATTTTCTCTGAATAAAATTTTTTTTTAACATATTTGGATTCTTAATCTTAAAAATATAGGGGTAGCCGCAATCAGGAAAATGTGGTCCCCATAGTTTGGTCAGGAGAGATATTTAAAAAATTTATGAAGCAATTCAAAAAAAATTGCATCCACGCATAAAACTCATTTACCCAAAGATGATTTCTTGAAGAAAATAATTTTTAATAATTATTTTTTATTATTTAATTAAATTGAGGATGAAAAAATTTTGAATCATAAGGAATGAATTTTTTATACCATATTAATCTACATATTTTTCAATTGAAAAATCTAAAGTTTCAACTGTTTTCATTTATTAGAAGCAGAGAAAAATTAAAATGAATTATTTTTAAAAAAATAATTTGGCGACAATGAAGAAATAATTAAATGGGGCGATTAATATTAAAATGTGATAAACTTACGAGGAATTTGACGTCAAGCGCGTAGTGTAAAATTTCATTCATATTTTTTTCGCTAATAACCGATTGCTAATTTTTTTATTTTTATTTCTTTTAAACTATAAAATACAATGTTTCCTTTTTAGTCGTTTAATAATTTATTTGCAATTTAGTGAAGAAATTTGAATAAAACATTTTGAATAAAAAACATTCTAAACGAATGTCTAGTTTTATTAAAGCATGCTTCTGATAGAATATGATTATACACCAGATTGTGCTTATTTAACGTGATTATTTTTTATTTTTTAGTTTTTTTTCTCAATAACTGATACAATTTCAATAATATGCATACGTATGCATAGATTTGGAATAATATATTTATCAATTTCTTGAATCTATATTTTATAAATATTAATAAAAATACGTATTCAACATTTTTGAGCATCTCTCACATCATCGCAAATTTCTCAACATCTTATATATCGTCTTAATCTTAAAAGAAATTTTTCAATCATCTGTCCAGGTGTGTTTCGCAGAGCTATTTTAAAAACAATTTAATTAAAATTTAACATTTTTAAAAATCTTATTCTTTACCCTACTACGTATATTATTTCTTCATTAATATACTAATCAAATTTTTCAGTACTTTAATTTAGGTTTTCTTTAAAGTAAAGTTCCTTTTTAAATTATTGTCAAGTTTTTTTTTAAAAATAATTATTGTCTGCTAGCTAAGTGTGAAACCTTGTTAAGAAATTAAAAACATTCCGCTGTTTAAAATTATTTGATGCAAAACAGCTGATTATTTACTAAGCATACTATTTTTTTCGAAAAAAGAATATAAATTATTGATTGTCTTTTTTTCTGTTCTTTTTCGTTTGTTCTTTGTGACTTCAACACGGATTATCTAAAATAGTGTTGATGTTCTAAAAGTCACTACAAAGTGTATAAAGACACCGAACATAAAAAGCTAACGTCGTATGCGTAGCCAAAATTTTTAAGCGTCTCGAAATATCTCAGCATCTTAAATGTCGTCCTAACATCTTAGTTGTGAAATTAAGTTTTTAATTACCTGACCACGTGTGATTCATAGAACTATCCAACTAATTATTTCATTATATCTTTTACTCTTTCTTTATGATACCATGTAGATTTTTTTCCGGATAATATACTAAACTATTTTGTTTAATTTTTAACTTTAGCATGATTCCCAAGATATTATTGTAGTATAATTTGTTATCAGGAAAATGCCTTATTTTGTAAAGCAAGAAATATTAAAAATTGAAATTTGTAAGAAAATTCCGAAGCCGTGCCAATTTTAGAATAATCTGATTTTAAAAAAATGGAATAAAAAATACACAATTTCCGAACTTATTTTGATAAAGAAAACAAAAACGCGGGAAGAAGGCTAACATACTTTTTACAGAAACTGTGAAAACCAATTTTTCCTATATTTCGTCAAAAGAGGATAAGAATGATATTGCTCCAAGGAACCTACTCAATAATTTCGCTATTTCCAGAATGAAATTTGTTTCATCGAAACATATCATTGATTGAAATTCAAAACGAGAAAAAATTAACTTTTATTATTTATTTAAGCTTCATGGTGTTGCAATTTTCACAAACATAAGTTTATTTCAATGTTTTTAAAATGCCACTGAACATTCAGCAGTTCCTTGAGTTATAGAAAAGAGAAATATCGTAAATTATAGAAAACCTTGAGAATGTGCATTAGAAGGGTCTGGTTCATATCATCGACAGGCCATTTCATCGATTAGATCATTTCGTCGACAGGCCGTTTCCTCGACAGGTCGTTTCGTCGACAGGCCATTTCGTCGACAGGGTCATTTCGTCGACAAGTCATTTCGTCTACGGGGTCATTTCTTCGAGAAGTCATTTCGTCGACAGTGTCATTTCGTCGACAGGGTCATTTCATCGACAGGGTCATTTCATCGACAAATAAAATTTGTCCAATTTTTGATTAGTTTAATTGCTGAAATTTTTAACTGATTTTCTGTACAAGATGAAAACACAATTTTCAAACGCTTTCAGACCAGTATTAGCAGAACTTATCGCCAATCAAAATTTTGATTATTTTCGGCTTGAACAAGCCAGGAGACTCAAAACTAAAATGTAGAAAAAAATGAAAATAAAAAATTTATACATATTTAAAATATCAAGTTTGTTAAGTAGCCTAAAAATGAGAAAAAAATTTATAAAAATTTTCACGCATAGCAAAAACCGCAACGGTAAAATTTCACAATAAACTTCTATCAACATTCAAAATTCCACTTTTTTCGTTTTGGTGAAAAAAATTAACATTTCTTTTTCAGTACACTTATCAAACATGATGTTAAAAAACATTTCCGATTACACTTTTTAAAGGACTTTCCTTAGTGCTCGTCTTGAAAATATATTCCTTCGTAATAGCCACTCATACAACTTAGTTTGTTTTTTCCTATATCGATTTTTTTTAAAGAGAAAATATATAAATATTGAAATTTTGTGTAAGAAAATTTCGCTAATATGTCAATAATAACAAAATTAACGATTACTTGCATATGAAAAAAAATCAACTGAGCTTGAAAAAATAAATATATAAACGCAGGGAATATATAAATGTTTGATAAAACAAGAAATAATTTTACTATGTAACTATCTAAAAGATTAGCGTTCTTCGGATTAAATTCTTTGTAATCACCACCATGATCCTGTCGATGGAATGACCCTGTCGACAAAATAACCCTGACGACGAAATGACTTGTCGATGAAATGACCCTGTCGACGAAATGACTTGTCCACGAAATGACCCTGTCGACGAAATGGCCTGTCGACGAAACGACCATGTTCCAGGAACGGTCAGTCGACGAAATGACCTAGTCGATGAAATGGTCTGTCGATGAAAAGGCCTGTAGATGAAGTGATTGTCGATTAAATGAATGCGACCCCATTAGAATTGCTATACAATCTACATTTTATTTTTCAAGCACTTTTTTCTCTTCAGACTTTCTTGCCTAGAAACACTCGATTAAAGCTGTAAAAATGATTATCACTAAAATTTTGTATATAGCTATAATAAGTTATTTTAATTTGATTTTAGTATGAAATCCTCGAATAAATATAGCAAAAACAACGTAATCTAAATAATGTCAGATAAAAAGTTCATGTATAAAAGTTGCACACGACGTTGCCTCGTGACAATTCTCGCGGTCAAACTTGTTAATCTTTTGTTAATTAAACAGTTGATTAAGATCCCGTCGTCTCATCTCGCAATCGAATTATAATGGTCAGTTGAACTTTTAACTTTCTAGAAATTTGTCACAAGATTATGTTTGATTCGTCGACCTTCGGGTGCATGATAAGACCATGAGATCACGTTTAACCCCTTGAAATAAAATGTATAAATAAACTCCATAAAAAGAGGAAAGAGGCAGAATGCAAAGAATTCAGTCCGACTCCAAGCGAAACTCTCTATACGAGCAGCTATGGGTAAGTGTGGTCCTCCTCCTCCTCCTCCTTATATAATAGTATAATGATTAAGTAATAAATATAATTATAAATTATAATTATAATTACCCGTCACATTATGGTGCCTTTAGAAAAAAAATTTTCTTTGCTAATGGATAGGGAGTTTACTATTTTAATATTTTTGAGTGAATTCTTTTATTTCGTTTTCAAATCCTTGTGTTATAATAGTGTTATTTAATTCTTTTATGTTCTCCGTTTTTTATGTAAAATGGTATTTACTGTTAAGATTCTTTCATTTTTTAAATAAATAATATACATATATAAGAATTTTTAAAAAAATATCCGATCCCCCAAGCCCAAGATCGCTGGATATCAGAATTTAGAAAATATATTCGATGGAGAGTTATTTTCAAATGTTAAATATTTTTTTAAGAGGTTGGTGAAATCGTGGAATGGAAGGATGCGGAACATATTGCCGTAATGAAAAGTAAATTAAAAGGTCCTGCGTTACACTTTTTCATAGAAGACCCTGAACTCATTCATGAAAAAGAAATTGGCAACATAAAAATAAAATTCACAAAATTTTTTGAAAGCGAAACAGCACTTCCCCATCGTCAGCAGCAATTTTCAAACTGTAAACAAAATCCGGGTGAATCCGTTCGCAGTTTCTCGACAAGGGTATCAAACTTAACTATAAATTATTTCGAGATAGAAAATTCATCGAAGGAAGATGCGGGTCCTATAGTCGACCAAGCAAAACTGGCAAAATTTTTGGAGGATTTGCAAACACCCCTTAAGCGGTTAGCCCTAAGCAGAAACCCAAATACGCTCGATGAAGCTGTTGAAAGTGCGCTATTGGATGAAATAAATGAATTTGAAATTCACTTGTGATTCAGAAAGCTGTAATAATGTTGCGACGGAATCAGAAACGGGACTCGAAAGAAAAATGACCGAGTTTCTTAATAAGCAGACCGAAATTTCAAATGCGATGATAAGCAATCTCGAGAAACAAATTGAGAAAATAAATATAAGAGGACAAAATCCAGATTTCCACCAACAAATGCCACAAAGAAATCAAAAGTGTATCCACTGCGGTCGTCAAAATCATGCATCCGATCAATGTTGGTTTCAACGTAATCAAAACATTCGAGGTGTTAGGCGCAGATTTTCAGATAATCAACGTACCTCTTTTCATAGGGATAATAATAATTACAGGCGACACGAATACAATAATGCACCTAACACCACTCGCGGCATTCAATCGAGGTCAATGACCCATCCCACACCGTCTGCAGATAACAGACAGACTTTTCCAAAGCAACGTTATTTAAACTTTCAGAGGGAACGATAAAATCCCCACAGTTCTCTCAAAATTTAAGGGGTTACAATGATACAAACTTATCAATTAGGAAAACATTGCGCATTACCAATAATCCAATTAAAAGTAGGAAATTTAAAATTTTATGCTATTTTGGACTCCGGAGCAAGTGTATCTCTTATAAGCAATAAAGCATTTTGAAAAATACCTTCCGAATTAATCACATTTAATAGCTTTAATTCTAATATCAAAATTACTACTTTAACTGGAAATGAAATAAAGTCCAATGGTAATGTTACCTAATCACTCTTAATTACAGACAAAGTTTTTGCAGCATAATTTTACAGTCACTAAGTCAGATCTTTTGCTCAGGACTACGATATAATTTTAGGTTTCGAATTTCTTTCATCATTTCAGTGTAAAATAAACGTTGACGATAAAATGGTAACTTTTAGTGATTCATCCTCTTAAATACATAAATTTGGAGTGCATAAAATGAATGTATTATTAATGAAAACTACTGGTAAACTTGTGAAAAAGATTAAACTTAAACCAAACGAATCAGCCGTAATTAAAATTAAATCTAATCATAATATTCAACCAGGAAGCTCTGTGTTATTGACATCTAATCTAAATTGCAACGTTGAAGTGCATAAATCTCTGTGCATGGTTGATAAAAATGGACAAATCCCGTTAGCAATAAATAACCTCTCAAAAACAAATTTGCATTTAAATAAAAATATGAAAATTGCTCACATAAATACTGAAATTAAAGTTAACAAAAATGAATTTATGGCTGATATTAGGAGAAAAGAATCAAAGTTAGAAGATTTTGATATGACTGGAGCTCCAAACGAAGCAAAACAGAAATTATCAAATTTGATTTTCGAAAATGCTGACATATTTAGCACTTCCTTAAAAACAATAGGAAATGCACATTAGAAGCTCCTCCAATAGAATAGTTGACCTTTCCCGGTTACAGTATCCTTGTGTGACACACTTAAATGTCAAATTTCAGACTTAGAAAATTCAGGCATAATTGAAAAAACAAACAGCAGATATAGTTTTCCTTTAATTTTAGTTCGAAAGAAAGAAGAGAACCAGTGGCGTTTAGTAATAGATTATCGTAAACTGAATCAAATTACAATTTCTTCAACTTATAAGTTACCTTTAATCTCCGATATTTTAAACTCCTTGCGAGGCGCAAATTATTTTAGTACCTTAGATGCCAATTCTAGTTTGCATCAAATTAAACTGCGCGAGTAAGACAAATATTTAACTGCTTTTTCAAGCCCCCCCCCCCACAGACACACACACATTTAACCCCGCGCCTATGCCCCTAAAAGGGCATTTATCGGTTAATGGTTAAGGTTGGAAGACGAGACAGAAAAAAAAGAGAGGAAAAATAGCAAATCGAAACAAAAAAGAGAAGAAAATAAAAAGAAATATGAAAAAAAAACGATTGTTCTATTTGTTAGGGCATTTGATTAAAAAGTATCCAGAGCTAATTGGCCAAGTTTAGTTGTGGTTGCTGCTCAACTTTGCATAATTTGTTATTTTTTCATGAAAATTATTTCAGGATTTCCTCGTATTCTTCTAGAAAATTAATGAGGTTTGTTGCCTTCTGTCTCAAGGATCTCTTCCAAGCTATGAGGAATTCTAGCTTTGGTTGTTTAAAACTGTAGGATGTGGTAAGCGGACATTCTATTGCATAATGCCACACTGTTCCTACTCCTCCACAGGCGTATTGTCAGTTGCCAGGCAGAATCGCTTTAGATATGCTTTAAAGGGGCCATGCTCTGTAAAGAAGAGGATTAGCTGTCCATTCCATTCCAAAGGTTTAAATGAGACATTTGGTAAAATTTCTCTGATTAATGTTCCTGATTTTGATTTGTGATGATGCCAGTAGTGTTGCCAGTCCTTTTTAATTTGTGTTTCAGCTTTAAGCTTAATGAATGAGTGTGGAACTTTGACGTTGAAAAATTGACCCGTATTAATTGCCTCTTTAGCTAAATTATCAGCTTGTTCGTTTCCATCGTTGTTATTATGTGCTTTAATCCAAGAGATTTGAAGGCCATTAGTATTATTAAGTAGATTCTTTTTCAAGCCCATATGGCAACTTCCAATATAAATATTTAAGTTTTGGAACGAAAAATTCAGCTCAAATTTTTCAAGAAACAGCTGACAAAGTCCTTAATGGACTACAGTCCGAAAACATATCAGCTTACATAGATGACGTAATTGTACCCTCACATTCAATCTCCGACTCCATCCGTAAACTACAACTTGTTTTTGAGCATTTTCGCCAGTTTTAACTTTAAATCCAAAAATGTGTAAATTCCTTCAAACAAGTATCCGATATCTAGGACATATAGTAGATAAGGAAGGTTTAAAATCCCCTCCTGATAACCTTCATAACATAAAAATTTTTCCAATCCCCAATACGTTACGCAAACTGAGGCGTTTTCTTGGATTAGCTAATTATTATCGAGATTTTATTTCAAATTTTTCTGAAATTCTAACACCTTTAACGGAGTTAACTAAAAATAGACATGAGTTTCAATGGAACTCTTTCGCACAAAAAGCATTTGATCTAATTAAAACAAAATTGATGTCAGACGTCATGCTTAAACATCCTAACTTCGATGATATGTTTTACCTAAATACGGATGCGTCATCTATTGCGGTAGGTGCAGCCATCCTACAAAAAGATAAAAATGGAATTCTACGTCCAATTAGTTATTTTTCCTATAAATTAAAACTTCATGAGAGAAAATGGCCATCCATGCATCTTGAAGCTTATGCTACTTTGCTGGCTATTAGAGATTTTAAGATTTTTCTCTACAGTAGAAAATTTAGAATATTATCTGATTGCGAATCTTTAAACTATTTGTTAAAATTAAATTCCCCAGCTAGTAAACTTTCGCGTTGGTTATTAGAACTTTCCAATTATGACTTTGATTTCAAGCGCATAAAAGGTTCGCAAATTTTTTTTATCAGATCTCTTATCAAGAGATATTTTGTTGTTGTTGTTAATTTACGTCGCACTGGAGCTTCACAATGGGCTATTGGCGACGGTCTGGGAAACATCCCGGAGGATGATCCAAAGGCATGCCATCACAATTTTGATCCTCTGCGGAGGGGATGGCACCCCCGCTTCGGTAGCCCGACGACCTGCGCGCGAAGTCGAGCACTTTACGGTAGCACAGTTTAACGAGGACCAATACCGCACACCCTCGGTCCCTACGCAGACTGATCCAAGTGGTCACCCACCCGCACACTGACCGTAGCCAGTGATGCTTGACTTCGGTGATCTGCTGGGAACCGTGTCTTAACGATCAGTCCACTGCGGGACTATCAAGAGATATAAACTCATGTTTGTGAAAATTGCAACACCATGAAGGACTTACGCGAGTAAGCTGAAATTTTCAGGAAATGCAAAGTAGAGCATAATATGCGAATGATTAGAATTTCAGACCCGTATCTCATGCGTATGCTGAGCAGCGCCCTCTGAACGGTGGACGGATCCGAATAAATAGACGGCTGTAGCGAGGCGTGTATGGTTATCGGTGGTTATCTGCTAGTGGCAAACGTTAGCTCAGGCGTTACTTATGCCTCTTCGACGAAAGAGAGCGAGATTTCAACAACTTACGGAGTTTGAAAGGGGGGAGAATTATCGGCCTTCGTAAAGCTGGATTGTCTCATCGTGCAGTAGCTGCTCGTGTGCAGCGTAGTAGCAGCACAGTGATGCGTGTTTGGAAGCAGTGGACGGACGAGTGTCAGACAACTCGGAAATTCGGGAGTGGACCCCGAAATGTCACGTCAGCTCGCGATGATAGACACCTGGTCCGCATGGTGCTGACAGACCGTACGGCTCCCTCTAGACAACTGGCAGCACAGTGGTCCATAGCTACAGGTGTTTCATTGTGTGCTTCAGCAATTCGTAGACGTCAACTGCAGCGTGGACTGTGCGCAAGGACTCCTTTATACAGGATCACCCTCACGCTAAACCATAGCCGCCTGCGGCTACAATGGGCCAATCAGCATAAGGACTGGTGTGCTGATTGGCTGCATATCGTGTTTTCTGACGAATACCCGCTTTAATTTGTGGTACCATAATGGCCGCATTCGTGTCAGACGCTATGCCTGTGAACGCCACCTTCCGGAGTGCATTATCGAACGCCACAGTGGACGAACACCCGGAGTTATGGTCTGGGGTGCCATAGCATATCATGGACGATCTCAATTGCTACGAATTGTGGGTAATCTGAACAACAACCGGTACATCAGTGAAGTTTTACAGCCCCAAGCTGTTCCCTTCCTTCAAGCCTTGCCAGGCGCTGTATTTCAACAAGACAATGCCCGCCCTCATATTGCTAGGACTGTTCAATCCTTCCTTGCATTGCGGCAGGTACAGCTTCTTCCTTGGCCTGCGTATTCCCCAGATACGTCACCGATTGAACATGTGTGTCATTTCGTTGGTCGGTGCCTCGCTCGTGATCCTCGTCCTGTTGCTTCTACAGACGAACTTTGGGTACGCATACAAACTATATGGAATGCTCTTCCTCAGACAGACATTCAAAATTTGCTTGACTCCATGCCACGTCGTGTAGCAGCGCTTATTGCGGTGCGTGGTGGCTACACAAAATACTGATTTTCGTCTCTTGTTATTATTTGTTTGCTTTGAAAGTTTAATCATTTATTTGTACCACTACCACTCAACCGTGTAGTAAATTTTATTCAATTATGACGATTCCTTCATGGTGTTGCAATTTTCACAAACAGGAGTTTAGAAGAAACAATAAATGTTGTAAAAGTTGATGTACCTGACATAGACAAAATCAAATATGAACAAAGAGCAAACTCAATTTCAAGTCCTATCATTGACTATTTGGAAGGTAAAAGTGTTAATTGTAAATCGCAATGCGATAATTATTTTTTGAGCAATAGATTACTTAAAAGAATTACCAATAGGAACAAACGTGCACCACGAAATGAATATTTTGAACAAATTGTGACACCAAAAAGCTTAGTACCTCATGTATTAGAAGTGCAGACCGAAACAGTACATTTTGCATTTTCAAAAAATTACCGTACTTTAAAAGAAAAATATTACTGGGCAGGTTTGTACAATGATATTAAAAAATTTTCCAACTCATATAAATTATGCATTGAACGAAAAGGTTTTCCAATAACTAAATCACCTCTTCAAAATTTTGTGACACCCTCTCAGCCAATGGAACTCGTGAGCTTAGATATTTTAGAACCATTGCCAATGTCCATGTCAGGAAATAAACATGTATTGACAATTATCAACCACTTTACTAAATATAGCATTCTTTACGCTTTAAAAGATATTACAGCTCAAACAATCGCTAACAAACTTAAGAAATTTATCATAATTCTTGGCATTCCTAATGCCATACTAACAGGTCTAGGGATAAATTTTCAAAGTAATCTTTTCAATGAACTTTCACGCCAATTACAAATTCATAAATTAAAAACTACACCTTACAGACCTCAAACTAACTCTCAATCGGAAAGATTAAATTTAAGTATTGAATAAAGTTTAACTTGCCTGTCGGAAAAGACAACTGATTGGGACACATATTTAGATTATTATAACTTCATTTACAATAATTCTTATCATGATACTACTCACGAAAAACCTTCATTTCTTATGTTTAATCGAGATCTTAACTTACCTTTTCATATATTAGAAGAAAAACCCCCAAATTCACAATTTTCCATGTGAAAATTACATAGAGGATAAATTATCTGAAATGCAGTTTGTTTATCGTAATGTTTATAAGAATCTCGAAATGTCTGCCAAAAAACAGACTCGACTTCGTGAAAATATTGCGCAAGAAAAATCATTTCATTTAGGACAAAAAGTGTACCTTTTTACACCACGTACTAATCAATCTACTGGAAGGGCATTTGCAAAGAAGTTTTCAGGCCCTTATCGAATAGTAGAAAAACATTCAGATTTAAATTACTCAATAGTCGATACTAATAAACCCCGTGCAAAACCTTTAAGATGTCATGCTCATAGATTATTTCCCTTTGTTGAAAGACGAGCTGATTTGATTTTACCTTCTCTTAATCATCAAGCTCAGCCTACATCAAATATAGAGAATTCAAGTAGTCAAATAGCTACTAAATACTAATTCGTATTTGTTTTATGAGGAGAGTGAAACTGATGATTACATTCCCCCTTATCACCATCCACAAAAATGTCCTGCAAACAATGCCTCCTCCACAGAGGTACAAAGGACTTTACCAACGTAGATAACAAACAATAATACACCTAACTGCGCAGCCGCAGACATCAGAAACAACACCGCTCCTGCAAATAATCCAACTCATAGCCGATATGATTTACGGCAGCGAGCAATTAAGACTGATGAAACCAAGTCAGTTTGTCAAAAAACTTCGATTACGGATAGATTTCTGAATTGGGCAATCGCCGGAGATAAGTATCAAGCGGACAAGAATATTGTTGACAAGATGTGGAATGCACTCGCTGTAAAACTAATGGACCTACAAACAAAACATGATACTACTACAAATACGCTATTTCACAAACCTCAGAAAACACGAATATATTATCGTTCATATTGATTTAATGAAAAAAAAAATTTTTTTTTCCTCTCAAAATATTTCTCAAAAAAAAAATATTTAA